TTTCCGTTTTACTTTTGGTTATATTACGATAGCAAGAACTAGACCTCAATTCATAGTGAACCGCGAAAATGTTAATATATATTGAGTGAATTGATCTTGCTCCGAAACAACTTTCAATTTGTGATTAATACACTTCTGATGTTTAGGATAAGAGTGCGTTCGAGAACATCTATGCAAATAGAGTGTGTTTTGATTTTTCCTAGATTCTGAATAAGACTAATGGGGGATTAAGGTAACGGTCTCTTTATAATAATAGGTGGTTAGGGTTTCGAAACGCGCGGGATTTTTTCTTTTCCGTTTTACTTTTGGTTATATTACGATAGCAAGAACTAGACCTCAATTCATAGTGAACCGCGAAAATGTTAATATATATTGAGTGAATTGATCTTGATCCGAAACAACTTTCAATTTGTGATTAATACACTTTTGATGTTTAGGATAAGAGTGCTTTCGGGAACATCTATGCAAATAGAGTGTGTTTTGATTTTTCCTAGATTTTGAATAAGACTAATGGGGGATTAAGGTAACGTCTCTTTATAATAATAGGTGGTTATGGTTTCGAAAGCGCGGGATTTTTTGTTTTCCGTTTTACTTTTGGTTATATTACGATAGCAAGAACTAGACCTCATTTCATAGTGAACTTGATCCGAACCAACTTTCAATTTGTGATTAATACACTTCTGATGTTTAGGATAAGAGTTTGTTTGGTAACATCTAGGCAAATAGAGTGCGTTTTGATTTTTCCAAGATTCTGAATAAAACTAATGGGGGATTAAGGTAACAGTCTCTTTATAATAATAGGTGGTTAGGGTTTCGAAACGCGCGGGATTTTTTCTTTTCCGTTTTACTTTTGGTTATATTACGATAGCAAGAACTAGACCTCAATTCATAGTGAACCACGAAAATGTTAATATATATTGAGCGAATTGATCTTGATCCGAAACAACTTTCAATTTGTGGTTATTACACTTCTGATGTTTAGGATAAGAGTGCGTTCGGGAACATCTATGCAAATAGAGTGTGTTTTGATTTTTCCTAGATTCTGAATAAGACTAATGGGGGATTAAGGTAACGGTCTCTTTATAATAATAGGTGGTTATGGTTTCGAAAACACGGGATTTTTTCTTTTCCGTTTTACTTTTTGTTATATTACGAATTTACGATAGCAAGAACTAGACCTCATTTCATAGTGAACTTGATCCGAAACAACTTTCAATTTTTGATTAATAAACTTCTGATGTTTAGGATAAGAGTGTGTTAGGCAACATCTAGGCAAATAGAGTGCGTTTTGATTTTTCCAAGATTCTGAATAAAACTAATGGGGATTAAGGTAACGGTCTCTTTATAATAATAGGTGGTTAGGGTTTCGAAACGCGCGGGATAAAACTTGGCCTCAAGTCTAAAGGAACCGCGGAATGTAAGAAATGAGTTAATTCAACATGATCCAAAACAATTTAATTTGTCAGTAATGCGCTGCTGATGTTTTGGATAAGAGTGCGTTCAGGAACATCTACGCAAATTGAATGCGTTTTCAATTTTCCAAGTTTCTTTATAATAATACGATAGCAATAAAACGCGGGTTTTTGTCTTTTCCGTTTTACTTTTGGTTATATTACGATAGCAAGAACTAGTCCTCAACTCATAGTGAACCGCAAAATTTTAATATTGAGTTAATTCAACTTGATCCGAAACAAATAGTCAACCGCAAAATGTAAATTTTTGGTGTTATGAAGATCGTGGTCGGTTTGAATTTTCAAAATTTTGTAATGGTCTGCTCCTACGAAGCGGCGATTAGTTTTTAGAATTCTCGATAATCGGTAAATTTTATCTTTTCTACTGTATATTAGGGTCATATGAACCAGGCCTCAAGTAATAGTGAAACGCGAATTGAATAATCGTAATACGACTATATATATAATACGGCTAATTATTCAATTCTCGTTAATTAATTATGCTTTTCTCCAAACCCAAATTACTAGTTGCATTATAAAATTCAGTAGGAAAAAATGTCACTCCTGTGTAACCTTACACAAATCCGCTAATAATACGATTGGATAACACAAATCGCTTACATAAATCCGCTAATAATACGACTTATCTTATGAAGGTTGCGGATATCAAGATTGGCAAGGTACAATTACAGAACAATAATCACGAAACCCGGATTGATTGGATAGCTACGAAGTTAGCTACGAAGGTATGTAGGTTTAAGCATAGAAAAATTTTGAAAAATGAAGAGAAAATCTCAAACCAAATCCACATTCTGAGCTCAAATCCGAAATGTACTATATGAAATCCAGTAAATTTGATCATTCATACCCTTATTTTTTCTTTCTTTTAACTGATCCCTCTCATAGTCTTGATGTGATAGGGTTTTCTAGGGCAGAAAGACAACAACTAGGGAATTATACCCTACAACCCTAGACGTACTATGACTATTAATATTTACATTTTCAATAACAAAATAATACTCCGAGGTTTTTTTAATATTTGCGAAGTTATAAACATTAATATTTAAATTAAGACGGATAGTAATTTAAGTTTTACTATTTTAGGATTGAAGTGTTCAAATGTTTTAATGGTGTGTAGTTTGGTTTATTTTGGTAGACGTTATTATGTTTTAACTTTGTTAATGACTTTGGTTGTTTTATATTAACTTTATGATTAAGTCGTTTGTGATGCAGTTGTACACAGGTTGCAATCTAATTGAGAAGTGATTGTGAGTGTAATAGTCCTTGGCCGTACAGTTTTTAAAAAATAATTAAATTTTAAAAACTAATTAATTTAAAAAATAATTAATGATCTTATAACTGGAGAACAGCCAATAAGATCAATGTGTTCAATCATGAAAAGTTCTAATCAACTTATCTACAATGCAAAATACATACTTAAAAAAAAGGAAGTATGAAACCGTATTAAGATGAAAAAATAATTATATTGATTATATTTAAAAAAATATTATTTCATTATTAATATACAAACTTATATATTACTGTGTGCATGAATAGATACCAAGTGAAATAAACGTGAAATAATAATGTTATTGATTAAATTTGAAAAAATATTATTTGATTATTAATATACAAACACCTACATTACTGTGTGTGCATGAATTGCTAACATGAAAGAAACGTGTTTTTCCAATCAAAAGTTATGGATTGGTCAATATGTACTATATGTCAACAAATGCCAGATATTATCCCAAACTAATCCCAATATTTGTGTTTAGCATGAATAATGAAATTAGTTTTGCACAATTAGGTAATTATTTTAATATAATGGGGTTGAATATAGCAACCACACTACACGATAATATACTTGTGTGAGAGTTAATATAGTGTCGGTTTAATAAATTTGGCAAAATTCCATTTCCATTAACTTTTATAGGACCCAAGTATTGTAATTTTGAGAAAATTATTTATTTTACTATATACCATACATCAATTAGTAGTGCAGTATGTGTTGTGGATAATTCATTTATTATAAATAAAGGGGATATAAATGTTATATTTCCCCATGACCTAGCCCTAGCAACTAATAGAATTGTCTCCAATTTTTGGCGCCAAATACATGCATGTGGCGGGTATTGTCTGAAATTTCAATCATCTTATAAATATATGTACTCCCATTTGGACGTACTTCACACAATCTTGAGACAACACACAACACAATAAATCTGAGAATGAGTCCTTCAAACATTCTTTGCTAAACAATTACGAAAAGGAAAAACACACACAAAAAAAAAAAAACAAATGCTAAGGTGTTTAGGGTACCTGCCATATTGATAAAACCTCAAAAGCCAAGAAAAAATTCTAAAGGTGTATTGGCTTTTGTGAAGAGTTGAGTATTAGACAGTAATGGTAAGGTGGCAATTAAGGTTGTGCATGCTCATTCAGCGGCGAAGGCGGTTGCGGGAGGTACAACATTAGGTGGTGATGTAGTTGTTATTCATGAGAATAATATGGTAACACCGGGGTATTTGCCACATTTATCAGATCTAGCGCTTTTACCAAAAGCTTTAAAGGTTGCGGTGTAATGGATTTTCAAACACCATGGTGGTGCTGGTGGTGCGGGAAGTGAACACCTTATCCCAGAAGAGGTTGGTTTATTATTTAGTGGGTCAGTCAATCTTACTCTACATTCTACTTATATTTGTAGTGAAGAACATAAGGTTATCGTGAACAGTTATAGTGATTATCTTCACTTATTTGTCACTAATAGGCCGAAATGTTTACGTGAGTTAACCATAAACTCCACATTGCAAACTAGCAACTTGTTAGATGGGAGGTCATGTAGAATTACCTTCAAACTAGGAAACCGCAATACTGTAAAAACATGGGAAGGAATTCATTCTTACAAGAGTTACGCGGTATTTTCGAAATGAATATGCCAGATGTGATAATCTTAACTGAAACAAGAGTGTCAATTCACATGGCCCGATTGATATGCCACAACGTTCACCCATATGCAGTGTATGGATCTTCAATGACTGTCATGGACGGGGGAATCGCAGTTCTTGTCTTCAACAAAGAGGACTGCTACGGGTTGGTCGAATGTCTTAGCTACTCCAAGAAGTGGGTACTGATTACCTAATGTATTTTTTTAACAGTGATGCATGTAATTGTAATCCATATAAGTCGTTATTGGCCCCATTCGTAAATTTGGCCCATTCGAAAATTTGGCCCAATTTTATAAAGAATGAACAAATGTGTTGTAAGCCCATTTGGGCTCTTTCCCTCAATTTTAGAATTTATTTTTATTCAGTACTTATAAAACCAATTTTGGGTAGAGTAATGGACTATACAATACAGTTAATAATTCCATGCATAGATAAGGCCATAAACCAATTTTATTTGAAATTGTTCAAATACATATGTGGGCCTGTGTAGAGGTCACTATAAACAATAACAGCTCATAAGTCCATACATAAATAAGGCAACCAAGATAACATAATAATTTCAAATGTTAAGTCCAACACTAAGGCCTACGAATGAACCAGATAGCAAGAAATTGTGATCAATACACATCATTTGACGTGTTTATAATTCCAATTGAATATTTTTCAGAAATAGAACTTGATTATACAAGTGATGAGGGAGGTCATAATACAAATGAACAGTAAGTAATAAGTTAATATTATCTTTTACATTGGACCTCTTAAGCGAAATCATAAATGCATGCTACAAACAGAAGATTATTTTACATTAATTTAATTACTCATAATATGGGCTGCGTTTTAAGGATAAATGGTTGTGTAGGAGCTTGGCCCATATGAATCACCACATGGGCTGCATTTGGTAACTAGATTTACGACAATAGGCCCACATTTGAGAAATGAATAAACTATGAAATTGAATCACCTTTGGCATAACATACAATTGAGTTAGGACTAAAACCTGCCCAATTATACGGATGTCTAAACCAAGAATTATGCAATTCTGACATTTTACCATCACACAAATCTCCTTTCCACCAACACCTTGTTCCTAGTCAACTTTGATTCGCATAGACCCCTCATGCAGCATTTAAAGATATCGTCATAAACTTGATCAGAACTGATCAGCTGCATTACAATACATATGATTAGTGATGTAACCGTAATTTGGGTAATCACGTGTAACAAGATGAATAACCATACCACTGTGTTTTCAGTACTGATGGTTGGTGCTACTGAATCACCATGTAATAAAGTCACACGCAAAGGCGATGATGACTTCAGTGCAACACACATGCGTACAAACACTGGATCACTATGGAAAGTGGGAATGAAAACCTGGAAAGATTACATCCAACATCGAATAAGTAAAAAGCCAAAGGCATGATTGTGGAAGCAAAATGTGGCAGTAAAATGTCACCTCAGAAACCACGACGTAAACACGGCATGAAGGATTTTTCACAAAATTGACCAGTGAAGGCAACAACAACTCTCGCAATTCATATCCCCCACCAGGAAACGATATAACCTCACCCTAACAACATAGTTATAAGATTTATTATATTAAATGTAGTGTATTTAGAAAAATTGGAGTGTTAAGGTGTCATCGTACCAGTAATGGATATCCACCCAACCTAGGGCTCGTACTGGAGATGTCATCCTTCTAAATAGGGAAATGGCATCTTTAGAAACAAAACTGGGAATACTAAAAAAAAATCATGACACATTAGCGTCAGTATCATTAGCATCAGTATAAAAAATACAGTAACACGACAATCTTTATTAAGGTAAGTTACGTATAAGAAAATAACCTGCAAAAAGCTTCTAAAAAACTCTGCCCGTAAGAGGCCACACATCCAATTGATGCTGAATGGGTGCGCGTACAAGGAAGCTCAACAATTTCAGGATCTCCACCAACTGAAAAGTTCTCATCTGTGTTTTGTTGAATATTTCTTCTGGAAGCGCCTCGCCTTCTTCTAGGTGCCAAGCACTCCATGTCATCATGAAGCTCAACCTACCACAAAGACATGGGAAAAAATTGATACAATACAACATTAAACAGCCAATCAACCAAACAATGTGACCCAAGTCGTGTACCTTTTTTGGTCCGTCAGTATCTCTTGCCTGGCGTGGATGAATCTCACCATAAGCCACATCAAGAGTCTACAAAATAAACGAAAAACTAACTAGTTGGTATTGATATGTCCATTTTATATAGTGTTTTACCCCCGTCCCTTGGTTGTTATTAGTAGTGTTTTTGGCTCTTTTGGGCCACTTTTATTACTAATTTGTGTTTTCTAGTGTTTTCGTAGTTTTAGTTGTATTTTATAGGAAATTGCACTCTTGGAGCATTTTCCCATGCTTTATGGATCAACTACGGAAGCTAGAAGGACACGACCACTTTTGGAGCCCAGGATCGGTGAGAGCCGGTGATTAAGGGCTCGGTAATTGGGATCCCGAGGTATTCGGACCGAGTGTTAAAGACCTAAAGAGGAAATCCGGATTGGGCCGAGAAATCAAGCCCAATCAAAGTTCGAGCCTCAAAATGGAGCAAGGGCCCGATCGGGCAACCTCTAGCACGATCGGGTGCGGCGCTCTAGTGCTGTGCGTGGCTTATGGCGCGCCCGATCGTGCGAGCCTCTAGCACGATCGGGCGACGCTGATGGGAAGGAACGCGAAGAAAAAGGCGGGCCCGATCGGGCGGCCCTTCGCCCGATCGGGCGCTTGTTTTTATGTAGCCCGATTAGTTTAGTTTTAATTTTTGTTTTAGGAAACGTTTAAGTACGATTTTTGTACGGATTTTGAGATTACCTTCTTTCTTAGACTTTCTCTCTCTACTTAGAATTTTTCTCTCTCTAAATTCTTCTCTCAACTTTTGTTCTTAATTGTTTCCATTAATTCCAGATTTCTTTTTGGTAACAATTTCTTCCCTTTAAATTTCAGCTATTTTACTTGCTTCTTTGATTATACTTTTATTTGATTATTTGATTAGTTTAGTTATGATGATGCGTGAGTAATTTCATTCTAGGGTTTATGGGGATCTAAATATAATTAATATGAAGAGATAGTTTGTTATTATTGATTATTGATATTGCATGATAATTTCTTATTGAATTGATGAATCGAGCAGATGTTAATTTAATATTAAAGGCTATTTTCAATAGGAACTTAGATCTAGTAAATTGCGAGAGCCTGTTAGATCTATGTTGATTAATAAATTGCGAGAGCCTGTTAATCATGTTATTTGTGCATTGTAAATTATTAATTACTTCGTTCTAACCCAGAATATTAATTGTTGGTGAACCTGTGACCCTAGGCTTCCTTATTATTGTTTCTTTTCTTCCTAAACTTATTCTTCGTAGTATAGAATTATTTCCCAAAAATATTGGTTACTTAGATAATTTAGACTATAATAATTAATTAGGAGTAAAAAGATCTGTTTCCCTGTGGAGTTTGACCCTACTTCCCTATCTACTTTAGTTAGAGGACTTAGGTAATTATTTTTGATTAGGGGATACGACTTTACCCTGTCAAAATTTGGCGCCGTTGCCGGGGAAACGGTTTTATTTTTGTTTTCTGATTGTATTTTTGTAGTCTAAATTATCCCTTTTTTGCTTCAGAGAACGTCAGTTCCTTGAGGCAATTCTTATATTTGTCTTTAGTTCTTTGTTTGTGCCAGGTGTTCCAGATTAGGTTACATCCCTTTCGACCCTGAGATCGAGCGTTCTTTTCATAGGCAAAGGAAACTCTATAGACAAATTCTGGCGGGTTCTGAGGAGGACAACGGTCGAAGAGATCCTCCCTCTAATTCTAGTGACACAGATATTCCTTCAGATTCAGAATCAGAGATGACGGCCCAGAAGAAACTCAGTGACTACTCGCAACCGAAGCTTACAGATTTCCCGCACCTTACTCCCACTCCGGCTCTAGATGGAGTTTAATTTGAGATCAAGCCCCAATTTATCACTATGATAGAGAGGAAGCAATTCAATGAAGCTAAGGGTGAACATCTTAATCTTCACATCGCATATTTCTGCCAATATTGTAACACCATTAGACAAGCCGGGGTCACGCAAGACCAAATCAGGGAGATTCTTTTTCCTTTTTCATTATGTGGCAAAGCAAAATTATGGTTTAATGGTTTGAATAAAACTGCACTTGGTATTACTGACTGGGAAACTCTTGCTTTGAATTTCTATAGTAAATACTATCCTGCAGAAAGAACAGCGGTGCTAAGGAGTGCTATTCAGAACTTCGCTCAAGAAGCCGACGAAACGTTATATGAGGCTTGGGAGAGGTTCAAGGATCTACAGAGAGAGTACCCCCACCACAATCTAGCACAATGGCAATTGATCCAAGCATTCTATAATGGACTTGGAAATTCTTCTACATTAGTGCTAGATTCAGCAGCTAGTGGGAGACTCATGAATTTAAATGTGGATGATGCAGGACAGGTTATCGAAGACATGGCAATACACAATTCCCAATATGGGAATCCGAGAGGGTTTGCAAATAAAGGAAAACATAATGTCGATTCCGTATCCTTTTTGCAAGCTCAATTAACATCTATTTGTCAAAAATTAGATAATCTTTCTGCTGTTGCTAACAATGAAGCTTTTTGTGAAAATTGTGGAATTGTAGGTCATTGGGAACAAGATTGTAGGAGCTCTATGGAACAAGTTAATACCTTTCAAACCTATAGGCAGAATAACCCCTATTCCAATTCCTACAATCCCGCTTATAAAAATCATCTTTATCTTTCGTACCGGAGCACCAATGTACAAAATCCTCCACCTCCACAACAACCACAACAGCAAACCCCACCACAGCAAAAATATTATCATCCTAATTCTGGCCAGAAAAGCCAAGCATCACCCTCATCATCTTCCAACCCTGCCATGACAGAAATTAGAGCAATACTTGCCAATATGCAAAAGCATATGGAGAGTAGGGATGCGCAAATTGATTCTATCCTATCCCATAATAAAATCATGGACAATCAAATTGCACAACTTTCATCAACCCTACAATCCCATCAGCAGGGAGCTCTACCATCACAACCTATCCATCCTACAGATCATGCCAATGCAATCACTCTAAGGAGTGGTTCACATTATGATGGACCTCCTATGCAAAAGGAAGATAGACCAGTTCCTGATCTAGATTCCTCTATACCAAACGCTAATCCCGCTAGCCCTGCAGGGCTACAAATAGATACTAACCCTACTAATGTTTCTATGTAGGGTAAATCGCAGGATAAGGGAGGAGATGTGCAGAGAGCCCAGTTATCAAGCTTCCATTCCCTAATAGACATCTAAAGAGTAAGCTTGATAAACAATTCGGTAAGTTTTTAGAGGTTGTGAAAAACCTGCAGGTAACAGTTCCTTTAACTGACTTAATCACTCAAGTTCCTGCTTATGCTAAATTTATGAAAGACATTCTGACTAGGAAAAGGGTCTTTAATGAAGTAGAAACTGTAGCTTTCACAGAGGAGTGTAGCGCTTTATTGCAAAACAAATCCCCTCCTAAATTAAAGGACCCCGGTAGTTTTTCTATCCCTTGTCATATTGGGAATGTTTTTATTGATAAAGCTTTGTGTGATTTGGGTGCTAGTGTCAGTGTCATACCATCGTCTGTTTGTACTAAACTTAATATGGGAGAATTAAAAGTTACTAATATAACTTTGCAAATGGCAGATCGTTCGGTAAAATACCCCTTAGGTATTTTAGAGGACGTACCTGTCAGAGTTGGTAAATTTTTTATTCCTGTTGATTTTTTTGTTTTAGACATGGCAGAGGACACACAATTACCCATTATATTAGGTAGGCCTTTCCTCCATACTGCAGGAGCGATTATTGATGTTAAAAATGGTAAACTAACCCATTCTGTAGGTGACGATAATGTTACTTTCAATTTAAGGAAGGTTTTGAAAGGGCCTATGCTAGAGGAAAATTGTTGTTATATTGATATAATTGATATAATGGATGATATTTGTGATGATAGCTTGCCACAGGTTCTTGCGAAGGATCCCCTAGAGGATGTTCTCTGCGGGAATTTATCTATAGACAATGCAAGCGTTTGGGGTAATGAGGTACAAGATATTGAAAAGGCTCTTTCCTTAGAAGAGTTAAGCCCCGACGAAACATTGAAGGTAGTAAATTTAGTTCAGGAATCAAAACCTGCAGAGGTCAAGAAACCTGAGCTAAAACCTCTCCCTTCTCATTTAAAATATATTTTTCTTGATTAACAGGAACTACACCCCGTGATCATCAGTACTGCACTTACTGACCTACAAACTTCCCAACTTCTAGGGGTTCTCAAAACCCATAAGAAAGCTATTGGGTACAGTATTGATGATCACAAGGGTATTAGCCCTGATTTTTGTATGCACATGATACATCTAGAGGATAATTACAAGCTCTGCATTCAACCCCAACAAAGATTAAATCCCAACATGCAGGAAGTAGTCAAGAAGGAGGTGATGAAATTACTTGATGCAGGTATTATCTATCCAATTTCTGACTCCAAATGGGTAAGTCATGTACAGGTAGTGCCAAAGAAAGGTGGGATGACTGTGATAACCAACGAAAAAAATGAATTAATTCCCACTAGAACTGTAACAGGGTGGCGTATGTGCATCGATTATCGTAGATTAAATATCGCCACAAAAAAGGACCACTTCCCTCTCCCCTTCATAGATCAAATGCTTGAGAGGTTAGCCAATCATAAATTCTTTTGCTATTTGGATGGGTATTCGGGATTTTTCCAAATTCCGATTCACCCTGAAGATCAGGAAAAGACTACTTTTACATGCCCTTATGGCACTTTTGCATATCGTAGAATGCCCTTTGGTTTATGTAATGCACCCGCTACCTTTCAACGTTGTATGATGAGCAATTTTTCTGATTTCATAGTCTATTATGGAGGTCTTTATGGATGATTTTAGCGTATATGGTTCTTCATTTGATTCATGTTTAATTAATCTCGCTAAAATTTTGAAAAGATGTGAAGAGTGCAACTTAGTTCTTAATTGGGAAAAATGTCACTTTATGGTGACAGAGGGAGTAGTCCTAGGTCATATTGTATCTAATAAGGGCATACAAGTAGACAAAGCTAAAATATCAGTGATTGAGCAATTACCTCCCCCAGTTAATGTTAAGGGA